GCCAAGCCGGAAACAGACACATTTTTGTAATGAAAGTTGATGAAAATTCTCACTAAGACGGAAATACAATATAATTTTCATGTAATAAATTTATTATCGTATTGTCGATACCCATAGATAATCAATATRCAAGCGCTGACGATGATATTAAAAACTAATAAAATCGATATGTATACAGTATACACTATACAACATTATTATCTGAGTTTCTTGGTTCAGTATCAAATCGTATATTGTTACGTCCGTGTCGTTTGTAATCTTTAATTTAATTCAATTTAATTTTTTTAACCACGTCAAGACAGAAACCCCGTTAACACGGAAATATTTCATGGCACGTACGATTCCGTATTATCGAGGTTTTACTGTAATTTTGTTTTTTTTTTAGAATTTTCTATTCTATCAGCATATTATATTTAATTAGTTTATTGCTATACAATTAGTTGCATGCTGGCGAAAACTTAAAATTAATAAAATATAATATTTGTAATTAAATCAATTTTTCTTTGACTTATGCATTGTAGTTTTATTATTTTTTGAATACCATTAGTCCCATTTTTTTGCATTTAATGTTTGCTTGTTTTCGGTGTTTTATTTTGTAGAATGATGGAGCGAACTCAAATATAGATGGTATACATAAAAAGGTAATTTTTGTAATTTTTGTATAATTTATTACTTAAAACAAATAAAAGTTTATGTATTGTATAGTTTTTGTATATCATGTATAATTAATAAAGTATAAATATATTTTGGGTTGTTTTTATAATAATTTAGTTGATAACCATGCATAGTCAATAAATTTATATTTTAAATTGAAAATTACTTTTAGTTTTATTCATACATTTTGTGAGTTGCATACAGAAAAAATCTTATACAGATAGAAATTCCACTTATTACTAATTCTAAATTTGTAATYAATAATTACATTACTAATATTAAAGACAAACATCTCTATTGGAAAGTCATACCCGTTAATATTTTTAGCACAGCGCCCACCCACAATAAATTTTAACTGTATTCTTAAAAGTAAAAATATTGTACAATATTTATTCAATTGRTTTTAAAAGAACTAATGCTATTTAAGTATGTTATTCTGTGTATTTTTTAATTTAGCTTTTATACTAATTAAAATTAATTTTATTCAAATAATTATAAAAATATAGCAATTAATTACACTGTTRTGCTAAATACTGCCATTACCAATAAAATAAAACAGCTCAAAATTAAGAGTAACTTAAATGATAACATTTTTTATTTATAATTTATACTGATAATCATTTAGTATGTATTATATTTTAATGTTTTTAATAATATTGTGATTTTTGGTGGTAAAGAAGTTTTGGAATGAAATAACAATGATATTAACATTTAATCTGATAATATTTTAACCTACAAAATAATTGATACTAACTATATTTTTCATTGTATATTAATAGTTTGTATTCTCTTGCAAATTTATAAATAATAGTTTGTTTATTTTTAATTTGAATTGGCAAATGGTAACTGAAGTAAATATATGAATGCTTTGAGTGCTTGCTATCAACAAYATAAAAAYATGCTATTTTGTTTGAAATAGGTATAGCAATAAAATAAATTGGTATAWTGTTTCAAATTGGTCACTAGTTACTAGTTTATATGTATACCATAACAAATTAATGACAGATTTTTATTATAATTTTTTACATTTAGATACTAATCAGTGGCGCTGATTTTAATTGAAATACATATAGAAAGTTGCATTTTGTATTAAATATCTTTCACCTCTACCAAAACATATAATTAGGTTATAAATATAAATATAATTTTATTATTATCTATTTAATACTTGAAAGTATTATTTTACCACTGTACTTATATAATTTTATAAATAGGTATCTCTCAGCCATCCACAGAATTACCTATGATATTTGTCATGGTTGAGCTATAGGATTGACGCTATTGTTAATAACTATTGGAAAAAAAAAATTATTTGCCAATTAATTATATTCATAATATATAATCTGTTTATATTTTTTTGTAATCTAGGAGGATAGCGAAGATGATGTTGTAGTGAATCAGCCATCTTCTACAAACAATGCTACGGGAGGTGCAGGACAGCATACCAATGCGTTTGCTATGCCACCACCGCCTTCAGCCAATGAGACCACTGCACTGAATCCAGATGGTACTCCTACAAAGTACTCTGCGAGCAAATAATTATCTTATGAGTCATTAAATCATGTCCCCTCAGACACATTTTAATACTCAAGTATGACAGAGTGATTGTCCTTATTACTCTTATCCAGTGGAGTTGTATCACAAAGAATTACAATAATTCATTTTTTCCATATTCATTAATCACATTTTRAAAATTTCAAAATATTTTTAACATTTTGATTAGTTATATAAATATGTACCAYCAGTAAGTGTGTACAATCAAAGTTTCCTTGTGTGTTTTCTCCTATAGCTTTTTCATGTGTTTAATTTCGCATGGTTTTAATAAAACTTGTTTCAAAATGTGCCAGTTTTAAAACAAAATGATTTTACATAAGATCTTATAATATAATAGAACAGATGCAATTAAATCATTTATAAAATTTGAACAATGTAGAAATTTGTTTTATTCATTAAAAATAAAATAAACTTATCGACTGAGTTTCCAATATATATACCTATACATACATATAAATTATTGATCATTACATTTTGTGAACATTTATATAATGTTGAACAACTTATCCAAACAGGGAAATTTGGTAAATACTTTAAATTAGTTCTGTTAGATTATAATTAAAAGTCTCATATACATCAAGTCATTCTATAATATTTTAGATTTTATTTTTATTTAATTAAGAAACAATTTTTGGCATGTGATTTATTCTATTTTAATCTAGCTTAATTTGTATTAAGAAGTACCTATATTAAATGTATAATTACATTTTATTCATTAATATTATTCATAGCYTAAACAATACAATTATTTTAATCATTTTAATATAATACAATAATAATCTATTCAGTTTTACACGTACTTTATTATTTTTATTTGCTACTTGTTATAGAGAAAAAAAACTGTGTTTGTGAACAATTCGTTCTCATTTTTTATGTTGATTATTATTTTTATAATTTTTTTTAAAGCATTGTTTACTGAATGAAATAATTAGTGATAGCCAATATTCATTTTTCTTTTAATTATATGTAAAAATTGAGATATATTAGAGACAAAAATGTATATTTTTTTTTAATCATAGGCACACTGTCGTAAAATAAATTATTATATTTAAACCCAACATTTTATCCTATGACATTTGTGTTAATTCCTATAGAATTTTTCATTTTTGTTTATAATATTTAAGTTGYTTAAGATTTTTGAATCTCCTCCAGGGATACATATTTTGTAAATAAYAGTACCACCTTTATTAAATATTTTTGATTTATTGACTTGCAGAATTAATTTGAATTTTGAATATGCAGGATTTTAATATTGGCGTAGAAAGTTCTAAGTTATTAATTTTGTACTATAATATACCATCTAATACTATTTAAACAATAATAACAATATTATACATCTTATTCTGTTTTACATTGTTTTAAAAAAAAAATATATTCATAACTCCATAGAGCAGGTATAATCATAATATTATATTATAATTTATATGCAACTCTACCTTCTATTAAAAATAATATTTATTAAAAAAGTAAAACACAAATAGCTTTAGAAATTGTACTTTGATTTTTAACTACTTAAAATGTTTAGCTTGATAGGTGTGTTTTACTGTATTATCATTATTTTTAATGTGAGTTATTATAATAAATAAACTATAAAATACTTCTTGTTAAGTTCTTGGGTATATATTATAATAATTAACAATAGTATATAGATCATAAATTCATCAATTTGTGTGTTCAAATTGTGACAATCTGAAGGGTTTACCTTCCCCAAAGATCACACACGAGAACCTGGGATTGGATCTCATGACCTATGAGCTGCACCACGTGGAAACTCGAAGGCTTTGTTGGTGGAACTCATAGGTTTTGTACACGCATGGACAATTGAATGTTCAAGATTTGTTTAAGGGCAATTGTAATAGAATAAATAATAAGAGATATTTTTGTTTTTTCTTTTAGGGTAATCATGAGGTTTTATATTTTACATAGCATTATAATTTAGTGTTAATAAAAAGAATAAACTTTGAAATAAAATAATAAATTGTAGAAACATGTGGCATAATATAACAAAATGTAGATATTATAACATATGATAATCATGATGGAGAAGTAGAATAACAAATTGGTCATTACTCATTACATTTATACAATAAATTGACATTTTGAATATAATAAATTGGGGGAATAATATGTTTGGACTCATGGCAGGTGTGACTTATGGATAATAAAGACATTATTGTATTATTAAAAAGAATAATAATTATAATTTTGCAGTCGCAAACCTAAATCAATATAATAATATTTTGAATAGTATTTGGGCTTATATTAAGCCTCATATTGTCGTGTGGCACATGATTTATGTGAATGATGGTTTTTTTTTAATAATAATATTTTGACACTACGTCAGCGCTAGAGCAAAGCGACTGGGACGTGTGGCGCCGTCTAAGCGTATAATTATAACATGGGTCATAGAAAAWTGACAAAGCTTGCGACTACAAGAAGAAAAATAAGAATAATTATTAGAGGAGAATATGGAAGGGGCATGGGGGACATTACATAATAACTATTTACTAATACATTACAAAACGTTGGTAATTGACACGTTGTTGACTGTTGTTGGTGTTCGGTGACCTAGGCGGGCTGGCTAATAGCCACCAATGCACACGTGGTTGGCATCATACGTCTTGTTTCCAAAAATGTCCGGGAAAGGAAGAATAGATGAAAAAAAATGTTGCATGATATGTGTCGGCCACCAGTGGCCTATGGGGACGAGTTCAGCCCATCGGTAGTCAGAAAAAAAWGCTAAAAAAAAATCCAGGGAAARTAAGCCACGGAAAAAAAGTTAAATTACAATAATTAAATACATAAAAATTAAAATGTGTGCGCTTGACTGTTTTCAGGTAGCATCTGACTTTTGTCGTCTAATTTTGCAACACATTCTCCAAAAATATGTGCTGGGTTGTTTTTGGTAGCCTTAGCTTGAATTTTCATTTCATTATATTTATATATAACACATATCTAAACCTCTTTCTTGTTTGGTCTATGGGTTATAATAGGAATTGTTCCACTTTTGACATTTTTTGACATTTCAAGATCTGTTTAAATGGTCCCTGGACATTTGAGCATGGTTGCTCTACTATTACAACGCCATGTAATACTACTTTTACCGGTATGTTTGAGAACGTACATGTAACCCTCAAAACATTATTTGTGCTTACTTTTATTAGAGTTAATGATTTCCATATTGTATGTTAAAAATATAAAATCAAAAGTAGAGAAACTTATAGAGAAAAAAAACTGATGGGTGAGACTGCGGGCATAGATGTGTGCGATTGAAAKTATAGTTTACAAAACAGTTAWAATGTTATACCTTAACAAAARAAAGGGAATTTCCTTCAGAATAAGAAGAAAGAAAATGCTATTCATTGAATAAAAATGACATAATATTTTGTGGATATTATCTTGAAATCAATTGATTTATGTCTTACACCCTAGATATGTATAACTGTATAAGTATAATGTAATATATACTTTGTACAGGGACACAGGGTGATTCTTTTTAAAATGTACATGTTGCAGTATGAATTACATGCTATCTTGAAATAAATTATTTATGTATATTTTTAATTTAAATTTTTTGTTATATAAAATCAATACATTCATTATTACTGTTTAGAATCTAAAATATATTTATTACTATGGAATAATAAATAATAACATATTATAACCTGTGTATTAATGATTATATAGGTATATATATATATATATATATAAGTTACTGGAAAATCTCAGAAATGCCTGGTCAAAAAGCGAACTGCCCTAAATCCTTAAGAATAATGTTCACGATTGGTGAGTCTAAAAAGTTAAAAGTTCCACCAAGTAAAACCAATGGTGACATTATTTATTTTGTAAGATGCAATGAAATGTTCAATATATTGCACATGGCTCATATAAATTGTGAACATGGTGGTCGAAACTGAATGGAGCATTCAATAAAACAAAAATACAAAAATACAAAAATATTATCAGGGATATAATTTTATTATATTTACAGTTATGTGAAATACCTACCTACCTATGTAATAAAAAATACGCTCATCCCAAAAAAAGGTTTAGTAATAAAATCAATTTTATCTAAAACTTTTAATTCTCGTGCACAAGTTGATCTAATAGATATACAAAGTAATAAAKATGRTGATTTTAAATTTATCTTRGTTTACCAAGACTAWTTTAGTATTTTACTAAGTTTGTTTCTTTACGACCTTTAAAAACAAAAACTGCAAGCGAAGTTGCATACAATCTTATAGACATTTTTTGTATAATTGGAGCTTTGTGTATAATTACAATCGGACAATGGTAGAGAGTTTGTAAATCATACATGTATTATTATAAATGATTTAGTTCTGTTGTGGGATGGCTTAAAAATAGTACAGGGGAAGCCACGTCATTCTCAAAGTCAGAGGTGTTGACAGTGGCGGCACCAGAATTTTAATACCAAGTGGGYCAAGCTGGGGCCCAATTTTTTTAGGGAGGGCCAAATTGTTGACTTGATATATATATATTATATATATACAATAGTGATGACAGGCAATTGCGCAGAATGGGGAGGGGGAGGGCCAACTTCCAATTTTTCAATTTTTTTACACTTCATCGTGTTAAGCCGTTTTCGTTCTTTCAGTCACTTATTTGAGCGGGTCCACTTTTCATTCTTCCAAAATATAAATAGTGCGACTGCCGACCAGTTCTTATGAAGCAAGGACTCGAAGGGTAACAACACGTGCATATCACATTAATATGGTCCTATAGTAAAGACAATCGATGCTCTTTCACAGATCCAAAGNAAACTAGAATGCTTTCACTTGTATTTTCTTCATCATAGTTGGTTAATAATCTAATCCCGTTGTTCATGGAATTTTCAACAAAATTATTATAACATTGATTAATATTTAATAATAACTAGTAAGTATAACTTATTATTTTCGTATTCAGCCGCTGGAAAATAGACGTTATTTATGAGGTTTGAAAGCATAGTGCATAGTTTACCTAACCTAACCCGTGGGTTTTTTCCTACATTCCAGCCCATCATGGCTGGTGGCGCACGTAGACGGAACGCGTTTCTTCAAAAGACACGAGGTTGTCGTTGAACGAAGTCCGTGAGACGATGATGAAAAAGTGAAGCCCAGAAGATGCACACACGTTAGGCACGGTCAGAGGTCTTTGAAAATGTGAATCGTCTTCGACGGCTGCATGTAACGGTTTGATGGTCAGCCGCCGGCGGATTTTTAAAACATTCTCAACCAACTAGACAGTATAGCTACCAGTCGTCGCTTTTCAGACACCATACCTTAAATATATATATATATATATCTAACTAATAAATATTTCACCAAATATTCAGTGC